TTAAAACAAAGTTCAAAGACTGGTTTGCTAGATAGACGCCTTAAATTTTGAGTGTTGTTTATTTGACTTGCCCCTACGGTTCACTGGATTTACAGTACGACTCGATAAAAGTAGGGTTTTGACTAACATGGCAAAGAAGAAGGCTATCGTACATATGAATGCCAAACCTTGTTGTAGGTTCTGCTGTCAATGCTATCCACGTGTTTGATTCTGGGAGGAGCAGGCTTCCTGTCCTGCCCACTTTCAAACACCGTCCAAATGTCATGCACAAGTTGCTTGAGAAACCCTAATGAGACGCCGGAACAGTGACACAATAGGTATATTTATAAGCCGCGGCTTATATAAGATGCGAACTGGACCATTTATACGAGCGCGGCTTATATAAAACGCGAAATGCTAGTATGAATGGTTCACAGCTTATTCGTGACTAATGCTTCACTTTTGTGTTGGTTGTCATAGCAATCGCGAAATTGCGCGAGCGCGGGGAAAACGTGAGCTTGCGCAGTGTGAGTTCCCGTATTACGTAAACCGCAAACAAGCCGCGATTCCATTTATACGAGTGGTTTCGTGTCTTACATAAGCCGAGCTCAAAACCCTCGTCTTACACAAGCCGCGGCTAATGTTATCCGCGGCTTGTGTAAGACGTGAACTTGTTAAAATGTACCGTTTATACGGTAACTTCGTGTGTTATGTAAGCCGCGGATTGTGTAAGCTGCGACTTATTTTCCTCGTATAAATAGCCCTAACACTTTTAAAACCATCGTTATACTTGTGTACAGTGAAATAGCTTCACGGTGGTCGATAGAAACTGAGAGACATAATCGCGTTAACTTTCTTTACAGCAGTTATGTCTTGAAGTGGTAAATTGAAAGACAAAAACACTCTACATAAATTTGTCACGTTTCTAAAAAGATTGGTGTATTATCTGTTTTCCTTTCCGCTGGGAGAGCTTAATTCTTTCCCGGCTTAAGACAAGTCTAAGATTCAACCCGAAAAATTCCATGCTCATGACGCAGCTCTGCAATGATCCACGCAGTGAATCTGATTGGTCATTTTTCTCAAAAGACACGAAACGCTTTAGAAAGTCTGCTAAGAACCATAATCTCAGCGGACTCCCTCAAGCGACATCGTTTCACACATGCTTAAAGCCATAGTGAATATCTGCCAGTGAAGTTCTGGGATATGTAAAAAGTTGAAAAATGTGACTTGTATCTTAACTACCACAAGGCCCAC